TTGGAAGTTAAATTTGAATTTTAAAATACCTATCGTTATTTCACTGCTTTGTTTTGACGAGAAACGCTATGGATTTCCTGATGTTAATAATAAAGTTAAATTCTGTATATCACGTCGGAATGGAATATTTATATTTAAAATTAACTGGATTAACGTACTGAAGATGAACAAAGGGTGACCTCTGTTTCGGAAATATATTATTTTTTTCCATTCAAACGAGAACGCTTATCATTGAATTATGAAATGTTGCCTACCAGTGATACCAGTATCCTTTATTTAATTGTAAGGCTAAGATTATCCGTCTGAAATAAATACCTTTATTTCAGTACATATACAAGATATAAACATTTCAAATCACGCAATACTTTACTTTAAAAAATTATACAATAAATGTGTAGCTTCGTCCTGATAAACAACTGAAAATATGAAATTCAAAAAGTCGCCAACAAATCTGAACAAAAAGTGTATATTTTAGTATATACAAAAAAAATTGGAGATATTTTAAATATTTTTTAACTAAACGTCTTATTCAAAAAAAATCTAAAATAAATTAGTTTTTTGCATAATAGGGTATGTATATAAAAGCAGAATATTGTTTATTCATGTTTTCTTCGTTCGCCTTCGCGGACCCCCTAGGATTTTGCTACGGACCACTAGGTGTCCGCGGACCCCCATTTGGGAACATTTGATTTAAAGTAATGTAACATAGGTACATGGTACGTTTTGCATTTAAGGGTTAATGTTTAAATAAATTTTTAATCTTTCTAAAAGATTTCAATTGAAAAATATTGCAAAATTATTCTATTTTTTATTTTTTTCAAAATTTATTTTTACAGATAAATTTAAAATTTTAACCAATTTGTTTAAGTCAAACTTTAAGGATCAACAAGGCACATCGGTGCTGGGCGATATGTCCTACTATGACAAATTGGCTTTATAAAAGTGTAATTAGACCAATTCTAGCTTATGCTTCAATAATCTGCTGGACTGCTTTAGACAAAAAGTGCAATATCAAACTACTACAGGGAGTTCAGCGTACATGTTGCTTGGGTATAAGTGGTGCCATGTGTACTACTTCAACCAAGGCTCTGGAAACGTTGCTAGATATTCCACCCATTGAAACATATTTAAAATATGAGGCGGCGCTTACAGCCGAACGGCTCTTTACTTTAGGCGAACTGGCCAAAAGCGGTTATAGGACACGTCATTAATGTATACTGGACACATTGGTAGGTTATACACTGAATATTTGATGATAAACATTTTGAGTTATTTCTTGATATAATCTTGATGGAAATAATATCTTGAAAATTGTTATCCAATTTGAAATATAAAAGTCACACATACTGAATGAAGTATTTAAAGTACAAATAATAAATACTATTATTATAAATATATTTCAGTGTTTTAAAACACGTACAATGTACGACATTTTTCGTATATATTAAGCATTGATTATTTTCAGTTGGTATGTATATTGTTCCGCTGTATCCATCAGAGTACAATCCAAAAATCGCATTTGCAAAGTTAAAAAAAAAAATGTTAATTTTGGTTGGGATTAAAATATTGTCGAGTTACTGATGACTAATTGAAATCGTAAAAATGGTCATAATGGTATTTCTATGGATCATTATACTGTTTATAACAATTTAAGACATACATATTTCCACATTTAATTTAAATTTATTAAGGTCATAATGGTATTTCTATGAACCGTTATACTGTTTACAATAATTTAAGATATATTAAGCTGATTTCAAGCAGCGGTCCCCACCATTTTTTACTTCGCGGACCCTTTAAGGAATTTATTTAATTTCGCGGACCCCCATACATATTTTAATATCTTATTGCTCTAAATAATTGTTCATCCGAAAACTGTCCTAGTCCACAAATCCTTAGGTCAAAAAAATGTAGAGATGTTATATCTATAAAATATTCCCGTACATTGAGAATCAATTGCATGGTTTTATAGATGACTTCTTTGTTAAAATGTTTATATGATGTTTAATTTTATGATCGTGAGAACTTTCACGATCATATCGTCTAGGTAGCGAAAAGTTTTCTTTTTTAAGCATTGTCGACATGTGCTTAAAGATTCACATTTTTAACATTTGTTGCAATTGCGGAAGGGTGAGCTGATTTCGGGAAAAATGCGGAATGCGTTATACTCATAATATATGACTTCAACTCTTTGTGAAAGTACTGCAAATTTGGAAGTTAAATTTGAATTTTAAAATACCTATCGTTATTTCACTGCTTTGTTTTGACGAGAAACGCTATGGATTTCCTGATGTTAATAATAAAGTTAAATTCTGTATATCACGTCGGAATGGAATATTTATATTTAAAATTAACTGGATTAACGTACTGAAGATGAACAAAGGGTGACCTCTGTTTCGGAAATATATTATTTTTTTCCATTCAAACGAGAACGCTTATCATTGAATTATGAAATGTTGCCTACCAGTGATACCAGTATCCTTTATTTAATTGTAAGGCTAAGATTATCCGTCTGAAATAAATACCTTTATTTCAGTACATATACAAGATATAAACATTTCAAATCACGCAATACTTTACTTTAAAAAATTATACAATAAATGTGTAGCTTCGTCCTGATAAACAACTGAAAATATGAAATTCAAAAAGTCGCCAACAAATCTGAACAAAAAGTGTATATTTTAGTATAAACAAAAAAAATTGGAGATATTTTAAATATTTTTTAACTAAACGTCTTATTCAAAAAAAATCTAAAATAAATTAGTTTTTTGCATAATAGGGTATGTATGTAAAAGCAGAATATTGTTTATTCATGTTTTCTTCGTTCGCCTTCGCGGACCCCCTAGGATTTTGCTACGGACCACTAGGTGTCCGCGGACCCCCATTTGGGAACATTTGATTTAAAGTAATGTAACATAGGTACATGGTACGTTTTGCATTTAAGGGTTAATGTTTAAATAAATTTTTAATCTTTCTAAAAGATTTCAATTGAAAAATATTGCAAAATTATTCTATTTTTTATTTTTTTCAAAATTTATTTTTACAGATAAATTTAAAATTTTAACCAATTTGTTTAAGTCAAACTTTAAGGATCAACAAGGCACATCGGTGCTGGGCGATATGTCCTACTATGACAAATTGGCTTTATAAAAGTGTAATTAGACCAATTCTAGCTTATGCTTCAATAATCTGCTGGACTGCTTTAGACAAAAAGTGCAATATCAAACTACTACAGGGAGTTCAGCGTACATGTTGCTTGGGTATAAGTGGTGCCATGTGTACTACTTCAACCAAGGCTCTGGAAACGTTGCTAGATATTCCACCCATTGAAACATATTTAAAATATGAGGCGGCGCTTACAGCCGAACGGCTCTTTACTTTAGGCGAACTGGCCAAAAGCGGTTATAGGACACGTCATTAATGTATACTGGACACATTGGTAGGTTATACACATTCATCGGACGTGCCTGATCGTATACCAGACACAGAATATGTCGGAAGCTTTGAAACGCTAATCCCAGATAAAATGTCTTGGTCAAGCGGAACATTGGAGCAAATACCAGTAGGAATCCGATGCTACACGGATGGCTCTAAATTAGGGGACAAAGTGGGCCTGGGGTTCTATATTGAAGACCCAGAAACAGAAATATACCACCGTTTACCTAATCAAAACACAAGCTTCCAGGCAGAAGTACGAGCAATAACGGAATGTGTAAATTGGATTAGAATAAATATGGCGCCCACAGGGCTTAATATATTTACCGACAGCCAGAAGGCAATTAGGGCGATATCAGGTGATACAATTAAATCTAAGACCGTATTGGATTGTAAGAAAGCTTTAACTGAATACTCTCCCAGAGGTGATGTAAACTGCATATGGGTACCAGGCCACTCAAAAGCTGAATTAAAAATATGGATGAGAGAATCCCATAAGGCCTCTTGGAATAATGAAACGGTGGGTAGAACCACAAAGATTCTATGGGGTGACCCTGATGACAGCAAGACGAGTAATCTCCTCAAAATGAGCAAGTCTGAGGTTAGTATGATGGTACGTATTCTGAGTGGACACACAGGATTACGTGCACATCTATACAAAATTGGACGTGCGGATTCAGACGAATGTAGAGCATGTGGAGAGGACAGTGAAACTCTGGAGCACTTTCTTTGCCACTGTTAGGCATTCGTCGAAGTTAGATTCAAGTATCTTGGAAGTGATGTTATTCCGGAAATAACATTCTTAACCAACACTGATTGGAAGATTCTTAGGAATTACGTCCAGGAAACTGAGTTTCTGAACATGGAAAAATAATACATTCAGTGATTTTTTTTTCATGAATTGGAGCGCACAACAGGCCCGATAGTGGCCTACGTGTATTTCTTCGGATTTGATGTAGTATACATCCTCCTATCAACCTAACCTAACCTAGCCTAAGTCAAACTTCTGATTCAGCTTTAAGGTTTCATACGCCCAAAAATAGTTGATAAATGCTACTTTATTATGAATCTTATTTTTATTTTCAACAAATCATTAAGAATTAAATATTTACGAAATAAATGGAACTTAACCAGTAAAACCAGAGTAGTAAATAATTTAGTTAAAGAAACAAGTAATGGAAGTTGGCAAAAAATATCTTATATACCTTCAAATGAAGCACAACTGATAAAATTCCTCATTCCCATTTGGAAAAAATACATTCAAAGTACTTTCTTAACCTTGTTTCTATCACTTGTACTGGAACACTTTAGCCGTATAAAGCTGAGACGAATATAAAACTCTTATTTGTTTACGTATTGCTTTGAAATTTTACAAGTTTCAAATTTTTTTGACAAACTTTTTTTAAAAAATTAAATAATTTGCATATAAAGGAAATAATAAATTTTAACAGATAATGGAAGTTTATTGAAGAGTGTTAATCATTACTTTTACAAATCTTTTAATAAATAAGATATTTGAATATAAAAAACAAGAAACACACACTTTTCTTTTTTAATTTAATTACATATGTATTGGTGCAATTGGTTTTGCATACATATATGCATAACATTCGCACAATCGATGTAAAATGTTTAGGAATTCGATTTTTTACCAAATCAATTGTAATAAATTCACCATCCAAATAAATTATTACATTTACTGCATTAATTTTTTTATCCAAATTAATTTTTCAGTTTAACATTTAAAGATATTTACGCTAAATGGTCGTAATTTATACCTAAAATTTGTCACCAAAAATATTATTGTTGAAAAATCTTCTTTTATAGATTTCAGCTTGAGTATTTTGCTGTTGAAAGAAAAAATATTTCACACTTCAATCGTTGCAGTGTTGACAACACGTATGTATATAATTAATATATACGCAAGTTATTTTATACAAACAAAATATATTATTTTTGCAAGCAAGGCCACTAAGGAATTTAATTGCTTTTTAAACAAATGTTTAGATTTTTATAAGACTATTCACCGATGAAAATATTTTTTCCTTTCTTAATTACTTGTCAAAATACAGTTTAAGAATATATATTTATATATACATGCACATATATTCATTTAAATTGGCAACATTATGTGAATAGCCATTTTTAGTATGTGGCTGATTTGGTATACTAACTGGCTCTTTCTATTTTGGTAAAATTTAGATAATGCAGATGCAAATAGCTATACGTAGGTCTTTGTCGCACGTTGAAAGTGCTAACAAGTTAAAAGAAAAACTTAAATATTTTTATTGTTTTCTAATAGATGGCACCACGGTATTCACTACAAGGTGGATGGCACCAACAAATAACGAATGACGGTGTTGCCATTAATTTATTTTTCTTGCAAATTATTAAAATTTTCAAACTATATAAGTATACTATAAAAACTTCGAATTAAACGGTATGACAGTATTTAACAGCAATTCAATTTTTGTTTACAAACCATTACAGGGTGTATATATTTTGAAAAACTTGGGAGCATTGCTATCAATACTTCATTTTTAAGGCTCAGTTAGACCTGTTTCAGACGATGTCTTTTGAGTCAGGGACACCAGTCATGCCTTACGAGCTTGTCGGCAAAGGGAAGAAAGAGGAAAATAGTCAACGCAAATTCATATAAGGTGGTGTTATTCAATCAGCTGATAATTTGTTTCTTAATTCGCCTGGTTTACGTAGCTGTCAAAGTTTGTTATTGTTTACATTTTTATATTTAAAAATGTCCGTTAAACGGAGAAAAACTTCGTTAATATTTTAAATTATTTATGTAAAAAATCTGAAAATACCAAGCATCTCGTAAACAAATATCATTTTATTTAAATAATGGCATAATTGGTATGTATACAAATATGTTATTTAATAAAAATATTTTTTTATTAAATGTTAACATATTACACAATATTGTTTTATATTTTATATTAAAATTGTTTAGATAACGTGATTAACTAAAAAAATCTGTTCCGGAACTCTTAATATTAAGAAACGCATATGAAGTATTTACCCGGCTGGCGGCAGCTGACTTCTACGTTATGGCTTAATTTTGAAATCTATTAAATGTTAACAAATTAAACAATAATGTTTTATATATACTCTATGTAGATAAAGAGATTAACTAAAAAAAGTCTGTTCCGGAACGCTTTATATAACAAAACCCATTTAAGGTATTTACCCGTCCGGCGGAGTAGAATTATCCATTCGCAACAAATATTCATTCATTCGTAATATAATATTTTAATGAATATAAATATCACAAAAAATTAAGTTTTACTTAACTTCAGGCACTCACTTAAATTTTGCAAATTAATCTGCCGGAATAGAATTTTACGTTTGAAACAAACATTATTCAATTCAATATATATTTTCCTCACAAATTTTAATATCTTTATCATAATTTTTAATAAGATATAAACATTGTACAAAAATTGTTCATCAAATGAATTCGCCGTACTTATGGTTTTTGACATCTACATAAACCAAATGCCTGAACAAAATACATGTAAAATGTTGTTGTTGCAGAACTGCCACCACCTTATCTGAATTCGCCTTGCATCTATGTAAACCAAATGCAAAAACAAAATACATGTAAAATGTTGTTGTTGCAGAACTGCCACCACCTTATCTGAATTCGCCTTGAAAATAGTGTTGCAAAACAGGCACGAAACGTAATTTGAAGGGGTTTTTCGACATTGCTTTTGTCACACTTTCGTATTTTTGGTAGTTGCTTTATTTTTATTCTGCACTCACAGCATAAAGATCGTGTGCGATTACTGTCACACATGTTAAGCGTTGCCACTTCCAATAATTACTGTCACATGTTACTGTCACACATGTTAAGCGTTGCCACTAATTTATTTTTTTTTATATTTTATTTAATTCGAAAGTAATTGATTTTTAAAATATTAGCTCATTAAATAAAATTATTTCTTTAATAAAAAAACTTACAGCTAATGGTAAATAAAAATGTAATTTAAAGCATTTTAGTAATGTTTTTTGTAAGATAATAAAATAAATACTTAAAAAAATTAACAAAATATTTATTTTAAAAAATATTTAAAAAATTAAAATATTAATTCCTTTATAAAATATTTAAATAAATACATTTAGAATTATAAATATGGCAACTCTCACACTCATTAGCAGGTGTGCCTTAAAAGTCACAATGTTAGGTTAGGTTACGTGGGTTGCTCGCTAGCAAGCGAGTTCTCTCGGAGGCCTTGTGGCACAATGTGATACCCTTAGAATTACCATTCCCTAGCGATGAGAGAATGGTTACCCTCCCTAATTTCGTTGACTACTTGGTTCGTTCGGTCTCCATGTAGACCAGCCTGTGCTTTTAATAAAACCGATCATGTTTATCAGTGACGCATCTCTGAGACAGTCTAGATCATGGAAGAGAGCTCTACCCAGATAAAGTAGTCTGTGCTCTTGTAAGGCTGGACAGTCACATAGAAGGTGTTTTACCGAATCCACTCCCTCTTCATCTAAGCATCTTCTACAGTAGCTATGATTTGGGTAGCCCATACGTTCTGACATATGTCCATTATACAGTGCCCAGTAATTATACCAGCTAGAAGCCTAATCGAGTTCTTATCAAGAGATAAGATAGTCCTAGTCCTATCTGTTGTCAGAGTGGGCCAGAGCAGTCTTGATATTCTACAAGTGGTGATATTTGACCACCTGAGTTCCGTCTCACTCAGAGCCCATTCATCTATCAGTTTTAATAGGGTCGTCAGGGGAGCGTGAATATCCTTTTGCGCAAGGGTTAAGTCCAGGGACGACCCTTTGGCTGCGCATTCATCAGATATTTCATTTCCCCGGATGCCCTCATGTCCTGGAACCCATATCAACTCAACGTGATGTTGTGTCAGTTGTGCCAACGATTGAATGCAATTGAGAAGACATTCCGACTTAATGACATTGGAGTTAAGAGCCTTGATTGATGCAAGGCTGTCCAAGTATATATGTATAGTCGAATTTTCGAGATTTAGTTCCCGGATTCTTCTCGCGGCAGTATAGATGGCATCGGTATTTTGGTCTTGAATGACCTATTAAAATTCAGTGTAGATAGAATGTAATCTGTTTCCTGCCCCATGATAGGCTTGGCTATCTTTTGTAGGATGGTGCCATGACCAATGCGGTCGTGCTTCAACCCGTTCGACTGTTTAAGTCGAAGAGCAGATTTAGCAGAAATGCATTCGATGTATATATCAAGGGGAGTTATGTTTAGCATCGTCTCTAGACTAGCCTGAGGGGTGGAGCTCAAACAGCCAGTGATTGCAAGACATGCTAATCTTTGTACCTTGTTTAGAATAGACAGATGAGTCTTGGTATCCACTAGGGATGCCAATCGGGACTGGTTTTTAGAAATCCCGGGATTCGGTATTTTTAAATAAATCCCGGAATCCCGATATCGGGATCCCGGGATTTTCGGGATTTCTAAATCCCGAAAAATATAAAAAAAATTCAAAAAATCTTAATAATTTACCGACAAAAATAAAATGTTTTATTTCATATTGCAATATGAATACTCTTAGTAGGTGTTTACTTTCCAATAAGCATTTTGTGAAAAGAAAAACAAATTAATTCAAAGTACATACTTAGAATAAAAATCTTTCCATCCCAGGCACTGAATAGTAGAATAAAAACCTGAAATAATACCCATGATATCCAAATTTACAATGGTTTCCAAATAATATTTAAATAGTATGTGTAATGGGGATCCATACGAGGCTACATAGAGCACCTGTACTGCACCTATATCTCCTCCACCTTATATCCCGTGTTCACTAACCAAGGGAATTATCTTCTCGCCATCTTATTGACAGGTTGACTTCCATTATAGATATCCGATAGTATCAATGCCTATTTATTGCCCTTTTTATACCCTTAGTGGGGATGGTATATTGGGTTTCTCCGGAGTAGTGCTTTTGTTTTATACTGTCCTAAAATACGCTGATGAAATTTGAAATGATCGGGCTTTTGATCCGAGCCCCCATACAAAACACAGCTTTAAAAAAGAATTAGTGTCCACAATTCGCTTAAAAAGAGAACTGTCGCAATGAAATTCAGCATAAAACATTTTATGTAACCGTAAATTCGCCCTCCAAATTTTATGAGGATCGACTCATATGATGGCGTCCTTCCCCCAAGCATATTTTAGAAAAATAGTTTTTTAACAATAAAGTGCTAGGATATATCGGAGGCGAGGTATACTTTTATTATGAGAACTAAATTACATTTTACTCTCATAACTGGTGTATGGGGTTATATGGTCGGCCTCGCCCGCCTATAATTTCGTACTTGTTACTTTTATATATCCGATAGTATCTATGCCTATTTAGTATAGCAATGAAATTTGATATTCGTAAATCCCTGACGAGCCAAAACCTCTCTACCAAATTTTATGTGGGTCGGTTCATAATTGACCCTACCCCCATATAAGGTCCCGTTAAAAAAATGACTTTAACGCTCATTACTGGCTTAAAAATACGAGTATAGCGATGAAATTCGATACACATATGTTTCATGCGAGCCAAAATCTCTCTACCATGTTTTATGTGTTTCGGTCCATAATTGACCCTAACCCTACATAAGGTCCCATCCAGATAAATACTTTAACGCTCATTACTGGCTTACAAGTACGAGTGTAGAGATGAAATTTGAGATAAGTAAGTTTCTTACTCGCCAAAAGCTAAGAAACTTTTATAGGAACGTAAATCTTCCTACCGGAAAG